GACCAACAGCTGCGGCAGGAGGCACGGCAGGTGCCGTTACAGGGGGGACGATAGCTCAAGCTGCGGCTATGGCGGCGGCGGCCTTCGGAGCAGCAAGCATAGGTCAAGGCAGTGGCAGAGCTAGACGGGATACACAAGGAGGTGGGAGTGCAGGGGGGGGCGGAGGGACGGGTAGTGGACGACGAGCACCGATGGGGGTACGAGAGGCTGGGAGAGGGGCAGCGGCACGGGCAGGTGGAGCGGCGGGAACGTCCGCTCCCCCTCCCGTGGGCGGGGGTGGTGTTGAGGATAGCCAACGGTTGTCTCCTGCAATGCGGGATCATTTCCGTACCGTCAAGAAGAACATCGACGCCAACATCATCCATCACAGCGGCGGCGTGGCGGCACCTAGGGGAGGCAGTGGAAAGTTCCCCTACAGCAGCCCCCTCATTCTCCCGAAGTGTGCTACGATGCAGAACACCTCAGGTATGCACCCGACGTCCGGGTTTCCTTTGCTGCTTTGAACAGCAGTTTTGTACTCCTGGCGATTGACCACTTTCCGTCCATAAGCTACGCGAACTCGATTTTCGTTTCTCATGCCTCCATGACCGCTGTCCACTACGTTTTTGCGCAGGATTGCCGAAACTTTCTCCGTTCCTTCTGAAACCACTGCTTGTTCGCGTGGATACCCAAGTATTTGTTCCCGGAGCTAGCGCTGGAGGGAATTCCGTGTCCAAGGTGCGGGAAAAGGGGTTCGCCAGATGGATGGAATCCCAAGGGGCCACGACGGGTGTTCATGGAGGAAGACGTGGGGTTCATCATAGGATTCCGGTAAGCCCAGCTAGCGTGAGGTTTTTTGGTGGTACGCCGAGTATGTGGTGTGTTACAATTCGTAAACCGCGCGGATCAGTTCGCCGCCTGTTTGACTGTCGGCTGTCCCACTTGTTTGTTCGCGGACAGGTACAAGTGCGAACGGTGTGTTGAATACAACGGGACCGTGGAGGAGTCGGAGCAGCGCCCTACCAGTTTCAACGCGTGGGATGTCGGATGCCTGGATCGCCTTCCTGACTACGTGTCGAAGGAATTTCCTTTCATTCTCACTCATCGGTCGGGTATCGACATTCGTCTTGTCGACCGGCTCACAGACGACCTGGTCCATGGGAAGGGCTTCTCCGCCGCTGCCAAGTACATCCGCCAGGTAAATTTGCGTATCATTCTTTCATTTGGTCAGGGAAGTTTCGCGAAACACTGTTCCCGGTACTGTCTACGACGTGCCGTTCTGAAACATGTTGCACCCCTCCCGCCCCAAACTTATCGCATGCTCAATAATTTGTGCAGGCACACACGACGAAGTTTATGGTGTATCAACTGAAGTACGTGTCACTGGCTGACGCCCGGCGATCGAGCCGGGTGAGCTTGTTCGGAGCGGCCCCAGTACCAGAGAAGTTTGGGAGTTTCGATGACACCGAGAAGTACTGCGGTGCGGTGCCCTCGGACCACTACCTGCGGGACGTGTGGCGCACGTACTTCTCAGAACTTCCTGTGCTGGAGGTGGAAGGCGTGAAGTGGACGCGGGAGGACTATTTGCCCCGCGTGCACCAGCGCTGCGACGGAACCGTACTCGCTGGAGATGCTTCGTTCAAGTTTGCGAAGATCATTCGGCTAGGGGCAACAGCGCACGGAGAGCGCACCCGCCCCGTGCACGGCATTTTCACAGTCTTCAACGAATACGAGCAGGTCCAGTAGCATGCGCCTCTCGCTGTCCGTAGATATGTTTCGTTCGTACTTTGAGCTTGTTTCCTCTGGTGTTTTCGTCGTACGGGGTGTTTGCGTGTTAGTCCTTAGGCCTTGTGCCGTGTTGCCGTGTGGTGTGTGCGAAATTGGTTCCACCTGGGTTCTCTCATGGAGCTTGAGCCGTGGTCCGATTTTCCACTCGCTGTGTTTCCTTCTTGCATGCCTCTTGCCAGGTTTCGGTGCGCACAGAGCGAACTGAAATACATTTAAGCACGGAAGAAAAGGGTGTTCCCGCCCTGCCTTTGCAATGTCTGCCGTGGCTCATACACTGAAAGCTGAATTTTACTTGTATATACGTAAAACGGGCATGGGGTTCCTGGTGTTCTTGTTATATAAAACCGCCCAGCAATATGATGCAGGGAGGAGCCGATTATTCTGTGGTAGTAGCTTGCACCTGAAGCGTGCGACACAGCAGTAGCGGTTACGCGTCATGGTTTCGGCGAGTCATATGTATTATGATGTTGATACCGTTTTTTTTCTCTGTATCTTTGGTTCGAAGCACGACACGACAAGTGGGCGAGAGTTTATGACAAATAGTTTCAAGAAGACGTCACGTTGTGATGGCGAGCACGAAGAATACTCTTTTCCTGTAGAAAATAACACATGTTGTTGTTCTGAAGCTGCACACGCGAGACAGAGAAAAGCTGCCATGTTTCGCGCAGACTGCAATTTTGCAGGCGTGTACAGCAACAAACTACAGTTTCCTTCGCGTAAACGGTGGTTTACTCGCTAATTTACCGCCAATAGGTGGTGATGGCCCTCCCATCGTGAAGAAAAATCGGGAAAAAAAAGGAAGGTGCAAACAAAGTTTGGCGCTGATGGGGATTGAACCCGCAACCTCGGGCACTGAATAATCACACATGGATTCCTTCTCTCAAACTTTAAGACAATGAAAGGACGCGTCATTCGAATACGCCTCTTCGTATTTTTTTCGCGCTTCGCGCGAAATAAATATAACTCGTTCCCGGGTTGCCCTACCCATGGTCGCTGAGCCGGGATTTTCACCTGTCTGCATGTCTGTCTGATCCCTCCCTCGGCCCTTCTCCCGCCGGCGACTACTTTTTTTTTCGGGAAATGGACAAAAGTGGGTATACCCACCCCTTTCTCGGACAAAAGTG